TGCCTTGAATCAGGTGCACCTTAGTCTTTAAGCTGACGTCATGGTCTGTGTAGACTGGGTCGTCAGTGCCCTCCTGGTCCTACGGCTGTTCTGCAGTGTTATGTCTTATCAGGATGACCATGTCTTCACCACACCACGCCCGGGCATGGCACAGGACGGGGGGGGGGCAGATCTTCACCACACCACGCCCGGGCATGGCACAGGACGGGGGGGGGGCAGATCTTCACCACACCACGCCCGGGCATGGCACAGGACAGGACCTGAGAACAACACACAGTGCTCAAAATGTCAGCCTTCCCAGTAACTCGGGAATGGCACGTTGAGCTCAGGCTTCTTCCTTTTTGTGGTTTAGAATTTCCTTGTGTTATGAGGGAACGCACACATAGCAAGCAGGTTATCATTCAGCAGTCTGTACACGTAACTTTCAGTGTTGTTGATGAAATTATTCCTCTTGTGTCACATTATCCCTGTTCCCGCTGGAGCTGATCCAGTCTCGTTTGCTTGCTCCTACTGCCCTCAGACAGCGTCTGTACTGGCTTGACCGTACCTGTTTTCATGGGGTTAACATTCTAGAAGTGCTCAGAACTCACGGGGGCCGTTCTCGTTCAGCTGACCTGTTTAGTTGAAAGGCACTTGCAGGGGACAGTTTCTGCTCTGGGGTAAAAGAGTCTCTTGGGGTGATCGGCCCAGTGTTCTCCATGTGAGTGGTTCCACAAAGCCTGGACGGGGCACTTTGAGTTGCTGGTGCGTTGTTCTCTCTTTTACCAGGACCCATCTATGGCGATGCTGCTCAGAATTCTCAGTAATGGAATCTCTGGACGGACAGACTTCATTTTATTGTATTTTCCAAGTACTGTGGTGATGTTTTTTTAAATATTGACAGTTTGTGCCAACCTGTATCACGCTCACTTCCTCAGGTGCCATTGCCAACAGTGTGCTCGCTGTGTGCCTCTGTGCCGTGTGCTGCTGCTGCTGGGAGCGGTTCCAGCTTTCCGTAATGCTATTTCTCACCTTTTGGTATTTCTTTTGATATTTCCAACTTACTTGCGGTGGTATTGCGCACTGGCATTGGGGGGAAAATAAGGCCCCAGGAATTGGTGGGATACCATTTGAGGTGTTTCAACAAACAGTTGCAGCCCTGAAAATGCTCACAAGTCTGTCCAGGGAATCTTGAAGACAGCTACCTGACTGGAAGACATCCAAACTTTCTCCCTTCTCCAAAAGAGGTGATGCACCAGAATGTATAAATTACCAAGCTACAGCAATTCTATCATATGCAAGAAAAGTCTTACTGAAGATAATTTAAAAACAACAACCCACAGCTGGAATAGTGCATCAACAGGAAACAATCAGAAATTCCAGCTGAGAAGAGACAGTGTCTAGAAGAGACAGAGAAGCAAGGATTAACATTGCTGATGGCAGAGTTGGCTGAAGGAGAGATTTACTCCTGTTTTATTGATTAATAGAGACTTGTATGTGTTTATGTTGATTGTGCAAAGGCATTTGACTGTGTGGATCCTAACAAGTTGTGGCTAACATTGAGAAGAATGGGAATCTCGAACACTTAATTATGTTTCTGCATAACCTAGACCAAGAAGCTGTTGTCCAAAACTTGTTCAATATATATGCTGAGCAAATCATTCAAAAAGCTGGACCATGTGAATAAGAATGTGATTGAAGGAAGATTGTGTCTGTGTGTGTGTGCGCGCGCGCGTGCACGCATGCACACGCACCTTCCAGTCCTCTCAGAGTGAAGTGTTCCATTGAAACAGGGAATCTAATGAATCATAGGCAAACATGGACGCTTTAACAGAATGCTTTCTTCTTCTGTCCTTTCTCGTGTGTACCTTTAATCAGATCATGGAAGCAGGTATTGATTTAGCATTCACTGCTGAACTCAGGGCGTGCCCTGAGCACAGGGCCTTGGCAGGACGCGGCCCCCAGTTCATAAGGGCGTGAATAGCAATGTCGTCATTGTTAGTGATTAAGGAAGCGTGGCTCTGTGACGAACACAAGGGCGATGGGGACCGGCGTCTGCAGCACTTCTCAGGCTTGGTCTCCATGTGGGAGTCCTCGTGGGGCAGTGGAAACACCCTCAACTGCCCGTTGGGATGTGGTGGTTCAGCAGGGGGGTGATGAGGCATCTGCTTCTGCATTCTGTCCTTCAGGGTCACTCGCCATCTGTGCAAGGGCAGGGGGGTGGGGTCCGCCACGTAGGCCCCTGCTTGGCTCAACTAGTTAAGTGCTTGACGGCCAACTTAAAGGTTGGTGGTTCAATCCTTCGCAGGGACACCATGAAAAAAAGACCAATGATCCGATGTTTAGCAAATGAGTGATTGGAGCCCTCCTGGGGCCTGAGTGGCTTGAGGACAACTGATCGCTGCCCCACAGGCTGGCTGTGGGGACCCACTGGTGGCAGTGTGGGAAAGGCATGGTGTTCTGCCTTTAGAGGTCATTGCTGTTGGGGATGTCAGGTCACTCACTCTCATGACCCCATGTGACAGAGCGCACTGCCCACAGGATTCCAGACTATCATCTTCCAGGAGCAGACTGCTGGAACCTTCCACCTTTGAGCCCCTGATGGGTTCTGACCCCCAGCCTTTCTGTTAACAGCCAAGCGCTTCAAAGGAGGTCCTGTGGTGCCTTGTTAAGTGCTGGCATTGTCCAAGAGGCCGACAGTCTGAAGCCACCAGCTCGGTGGGAGAAGACTCAGCTGGTCCTCCGGCTCACAGCCGCGGCTCCGGGGCCCAGTCTGCTCCCCACAGCTCACTGAGATTCAAGCCAGTGCGGTTGCTGGCTTTGCTGTTTGTCTGCGTTAACAGCTGTCTGTCGTTACAGCCAGTTCTCCCAAGCACAGGGTCTCCGGGGGTCGAGTTGTCGTTGTTAGGTGCCATGAGGGCAACGTGGCTGACAGCAGGCCCGTGAACCCCGGATCTGAGCCCTGTCCCCCTGCACCCCCCTCGCAGTCTGTGCCTCGCTGGGCCCGTCCATCTCGTTGACGATCTTCCCCCCTCAGTGACCCCCCACCCTTCCAAGCATGGTGTCCTTCCAAGGCCTGGGCCCCTCAACCCGCACCTCGGCCCTTGGGTGGGTCTTGTATTTCATCCGCATGTGCCACTCAGTGGTGGGATCGTCTTCCCCTGCTGACCCGTGTGTCCTTGGGGACCTGCCTCAGCCCACCCCGCTCGGACCCGGCACGTTCTGTCCTCATGGTTTCCTCCTGAGCTGGGGAGCAGCTCCCTGTGCCGCTGGTCAGCCTCCGCCCCAGGGTGTGCCAGGCTGTGCCATGCCCGCTCCACACAGTTACCGGGGAGTAAACCGCCCTGGCAGCGGGGCTGTGGGGCCAGAGTGACTAGCTCACAGAGCAGCGGCCGTATACTTGCGGCGACCCCGTCACTACCCACCATGGGACGAGCTCGTCCATGTCGGGGCGGGTTTGTGCTTTGCAGACTGAGCAGGTTTGGGTTCCTCTCCAGGGCGCCCACTGCCCGCTCACTGCTGTGTGCTCAGCATCTGAGCACCCAGAGGTGGCGGGGCCAGGGCTGCATCCGGGTGCATCCAGGGCTGCATCGGGGTGCAGCCAGGGCTACAGCCGGGGCTACAGCCGTAGGAGGCGCCGCCTGCGGTCCTGTGTTGCTGCTGCTGTGCCTCCGAAGGAAGTGGCGTGTTGGTTACTGGGGGAGAAGAAACTGCTACAACTTTAAAAAATATGTTAATGGGCTGCACAGGCTCCTGACCTGGCCCGTGGCTTACTCGGGGCTCCCCCGGCTCACAGCATCTTCACTGCACAGGCTTTCTGAGTTGGTGTCTAGACAGTGAAACCAACCAGCCTGTAAAATATTCTGCTGTAAATATAAACCTTTATGGACCCCTTGGGACGGTCCCTCTAAAGTGTGAATTAAGATATCCCGTGATTCAAGCCCATAAACTGCAAAGTAGCCATCGCTTTGACTGTTCATTTGTTTTCTGCAACCAGGGAATACAGTCTTGAGCCTCTGCTAACCAAAGAGTGAGTGAGTGTGTGTGTGTGTGTGTGTGTGTGTGTGTGTGTGTGTGTGAGAGAGAGAGAGAGAGAGAGAGAGAGAGAACACATGAACACGCATAACCTTTGAGGAATATTTCCCCCTCATGCCCTTATTATTCCTAACTGAGGCTTGAGAAAGTTCACAGAGCGTCCTGCCTCTCCTTCCAACCATCCATGCCCATTTGATGAGGTAATTACAATCCTCGTGTTGTAACTGCACTCTTCCTGCCTCCTCCCTGTGACTCCTGTTTCCACTCATCCATCTCGCTTTCCTGCCTTCTGAGCTTTCTCCCTGGGCAAATGGTGCCCTTTTTGTCTTGGGTGGCTAAATAGCTAAACAAGCGATGTTGTGTACATAGTGGAAAACTATGCAACACTAAAGAGTTAGGGAGGAGAGGCAAGTTCTAGATAATAGACACGTATAAATATGGGTGAAGGGAAAGGCGGAGGATGATAGACGATGATCATCAACACAGTATCAGGAAAGAAAGCTGCAGAGTGATACAGAGGGCACACGGTCAGCATGCCGAGCACTGCTGCACACCCGACAAGAGAACAAAATACAGATCTCAGACAGGAGAGTGGACAAGTCTCCAAATCACACACACTGTGGGCGAGTCTGGAGACTGCAGCTGAGCGAAACAAGGCCCTCACGAGAGGGCTGGTATTGTGTGCATCGGCCGTTATAAAAGACCAAGGGAGGGTTTACACACAGACATGGGCAGTGCTTTGTTGGGTATCAGGGATGGGCAGGAGGGCAAGCAGGGAGGGACATGGGAACTGTGTCCTAGACCCCCACCGAGCTCGGTGAAGGGGAAGGTGCCAGCCCCGAGGGGGCTCACACTATGCTGTCAAAGACCAGACGACAAGGAGTGGCAAAGTGTAAAGGTGGTCTCCCTCCAGGGTTCGGACCACCAGGACCCCCGGAGACAGGCTGCCTGTGCTCAGGCTCCTTTGTACCTTTTGTTGTTTAAAGAGCCGCCCTATTTTACGGCTGAGCCAGAGAGTCGGATCCTAGCTGAAGTGGAGGAAAGCGTGGACATCGTCTGCCGAGCCATGGGTGAGTGGGTCCTGGTGGAG